CCACCAAAGGGGGTCCCTATTTTTCTACTTGCATTTTTACATGCTTTCGAACTGCTAGGTTGGCAGAAGCTGGGACAAGTAACGGGAGCTCACTCCATTACATGGCACTAGGGATTTGAACAGCCAAACTGCGAACCTTGCTGATCAACAAGCTCAGAATCTTAGCCACTGAGCCACCACGTCCCTTCAGTTTAATCAATAGATAATCTTAAAATTGGAGGGGGGCCGCGATGGCTCATCAGTTAAAGACCGCTGCGCTTGGAGAACTGACAGCCCGGGTTTGAGACCCAAGTTCTGCGCAGCAGGGTGAGCGCCTGTTCTTGTCCCAGCTCTTGCCCACCTAACAGTTCGAAAGCATGCAAATGCAAGTAGATAAACAGGTACCACTTTGGGGGGAAGAGAACAACGCTGTCCACATAACCATGGAAATGGTCTTCGGACAACGCTGGCTCCCTCGGCCAAGAAACAAAGATGAGCATTTTGCCCTAGAGTCGGACATGATTGACAGGGAAATCTTGACTGTAATCTTAAAACTAGGCAGGCAGTAGCTTTACCGTCCCCATCTCCACCCCTATAGAATATGGCAATTTCACCACAGTTATGATAGCCACCCCTAGCTCTGAATTTGCTTTCTGCACTCCAACTATCTCGCTCTGGGAACCCATGTTTCTTCTCCTTCATTTTTGCAGTAGTACAAGATGTTCTTTGAAAATTCAGTGTGTGCTTTGAGCTAAAGATCACTTAAGGGTTGGTTGTGAGAATGCCCATTTGGGCATTCCTCCCTCCTGTGCCTGCCCCTTATGCCTGCCCTGTGTGGGGCAGCCCCTGCATGGAGGAGGCCTGGATAACCGTGTTGTGTCATGTGTGTTTCCTTGTGTGTAAGTCTGTTTGTGTCTGTCTCCCTGCCACTGGCCCTGACCCCGTTCCTGCCTCCCTCCTGCTCCCTCCCCACAGATGGATTCACCAGTGAAGGAGAATATCTGGAAATCTCAGAGATCAACCGAGAACAAGCTGGGGAATACGAGTGCGTTACGGCAAACGGGGTCTCAACACCAGACAGCAAACACGTCCTTATCACAGTCAATTGTGAGGCGACTTTTCATTTCCTTTCTGCCCTGCATGCTCACCTGTTTTTATTTTCATTTGCATCTAAAGGCAGGCAGTAGCTTCATTTGCATATAAAGAGCCGAGGTGGCGCAGTGGTTAGGGTGCAGTACTGCAGGCCACTTCAGCTGACTGTTATCTGCAGTT